CTCTTAACACAGTTCTTTGTGTGGCATGTGCGTGGATAAGAGCTGTTTTCCTTTTTAGAAGATTAAATATATTAATAAAATAACCCCATTTGGACAGCATTGTTTGCAAGCGCTGTCTGCTTCGTCAGCTTAACGAGGCTCTTTAACAAAGGCTGTGTAAAGTAATTTTAAATGTTCCCATCAAGACCATTTAAACTGCAATAATTCACATTTGCACATCTAACCATGAAAGGATGGAACTGTGGGTTTTATTGCAGCTGCTTGCTTAAGAAAGGACCAAGAGCTACAACAACTTCCAGGGTTTATAGGGAGAAAAAGGGGGCTGGGACTGAAAACCTTTGGGAACTGTAGGAAAATATTTAGAGAGGGCAAAGCATCAGGGACCATAGGCAAAGATCTGTTTTAGAAAACAAAGCTCACATGTTTTCTCTTCTCTCTCATTATTCCAAAGCTTAATCACATTAAACTCAGAACTAGATACCCAGATTCTTAACCCTCTTACCTGGTGGCTGTTGGTCTCTTTTGCTTTTGCTGTCAGCTCTTTCTCCATTTCCCTCTTTCTAATTCAAATTAGGCACCCTGAGGAAAATCATACATTCAAGTACTCCTGGTGGCATATGTCATAGCTGTCTTAAAGGCCTGGGGGAAGTAAACAAGGAAAGCGTATATAAAGAGAGGCCTCAGAGGTAGCTTTAGGAAGTGAAAAGGACATATGATCCAAGAGATTGAGGCCAAGGAGTTCAAAAGTGTTAGGAATGAAAATTCATAAAATCCCCAGGCTCTCTCTGTTCTGATATCCAAGATTAAATGAGAGATGTTTCCCCGTTGTACTTCTGACTTCTGATTTAACCAAAAGCATTTCTAAAATTAATTCCAGGATTGAAGCATGTTTGGTTCGCCATTTCCTTCTGTTCACTCATATCTTTATTGCTCTCTTTATCAGTGAACGCACAGGTGCATTAATAAAGAGCTTCACCAGGCCCAGATGGTCTTCCAGCTGAATAATACAAATAATTAGAAAATGTATTCCTTAAACAATGTAAGAAACTCTTGGAATTGGTAGAAGGGAGAATTGCCACCAACGTGGTCCAAAGCGATAATCTGTCTCACGCATAAGGAAAACACAGAGGGTAAGGAAATCAAAAATTACAGACCAATCTCATTACTAAACGTGGATTACAAAATATATGGAACCATGTTGGCAACTAGATTGAAAAGAATCTTAATACAGACAATACGTCAAGACCAATCGGGCTTCCTTCCAAAAAGGCAGATGAAAATTAATATACGGATAATCTTAAATACTTTTGAATACTATGAAGCTCACCCGGAAAAGCAAATGGCTATGATATTCTTGGATGCAGAGAAAACTTTTGATAATCTGAATTGGAATTTTATGCTACACCAATTGGAAGTCCTACAAGTTGGAGAAAGATTTTTGAAATTAATTAAAGCAATCTATGCCCAGCAAAAGGCAAAAGTTAGAATCAATGGAGAGCTGATGAAAGAAATACAAATGCAGAAAGGTACAAAACAAGGGTGCCCACTGTTTCCGTTACTATTCATTCTTACTCTAGAAATATTAACTGAGCAAACTAGAGATAAAAAGGAAATAAAAGGACTGAAAGTAAGAGGTCATACTTTTAAGCTCCAAGCTTTTGCAGACGATCTAGTTATTATATTGGAGGATCCAATGGACTGAATTGAAAACCTGATGGAGATGCTGATGAATTTTGGTGATATGGCAGGAGTGAAAATAAAATAAAAAAAATACTTGTTAAAAATATAAGAGATCAAGAACAACAGAAAT